TATGCCGCTAACATGGAGCCTTTTTTTTCGACTCGTAATTCGTTTTACTCGCGAATGCAGAATGGTGAGGTTTTTCACCTCATTACTTCTTCCCAAAGAGCCATATTACCGCATGATTAGATATAATAAATTATTTTACAAACCAATCACGAACATTGTTTCCACTAACGGCTAGTAAGTGTACTTATGGCTCCTTGCGCCGCTTAATAAAGTTTAAAACGTTTCCAACGAGCACCAAGTATTTAAATGCATTAAACCTTTAAAATGGAAAAAATTTTCATTTCATCTTAGTTAGTGTGGTATAAAAGAATCGTCACCGTCGAATTGATTAAATTGTCAACGATAGGAGACAAAAAAAAAAAAAAGAAAGAAAAGCAATCATTATATTGAATGACTTTTAATAGCGACATTGAAGATGCGCACAATAGCGCTGATTTCGGTGTCAGTGTCAATTGTAAGGCAGCATTTCTTTCATTTGTCCTGTTATTTTATAAATAGAATAAAAATCTGTCAATACAATGACAATGAAAAATGCCCGCAAAAAAAAAAAAACGAATGGAATAAGTGAAGATAACCAAACAAAAGTTAGATGCTATTAGTTAATGACGACATTGAAACACTTTAAATCCTCAAAAAAAATTTTTTATTGTAAAGATTACTGGCATGGTGAGCAAAAAAATTTGGTTAGAACTTTCTTGCTTTACAATCAAAAAATCTCTTATTTTTCTATATTCATTGCTTTTTTGCTTTTCATTGAATCCTGCCATCATTTGGTATATGAACGTTACAAGTAATTTATAGTAACTAAATATGTTTGCGAATAAAAAGACGAATATTTCGTGCATTTTAATAAAAATATTGACATTGCATTGTTATGCCATTGAAGGAAATCAAGTAAAGATAAAAATCCCTAAAGAAATGAGATGTGACATGACGAAGAAGAAGAAGTCAAATGAAAAAATTTATATACATATATATATATATATATATATATAAAGGAATATAAATGATAAAATTGTTGTTATGGTTGATGGCTTTCAATAAAATTATGGCGTAACCCTTAGCACACGGATATTGTGTCACAGAAGATAATATTTTTACTCTCTCTTTTTATAGCAATGAAATTTTAAAGCGATTTAACCCGAAACATTTGATGCCTATCCCTTGATTGTCTTTGAACCATATTATAGAAGTAGCACGAAGTAGCACTATTTACCGGAATAGCATGTTTTTGGTTGACATAATTGTAAGAGAACTTAAACAACAGCAACGCTACTCGTTAATGTGAATCCTGCGTGGTCCTGCAAATAACTGATGAAAGAAAATAATTGGATAATGCGCTAACTAAACTAAAGCAGGACAGCGGGAGAGAGTTTGAGACCAAAATTGGATTTGACTTTCGTGGTTGCAGATAGAGGGGAGAATAGAAAAATGAAAACTCGTTGATGGTGGGGTAAATGATTCGTTTTTTGATACGCAGTTTACGTGTTTTTCGAATTGTATCGTTTTGTATGTGAGAGATGCACAGTCATTTTGTGAAAACGTTTGTAACGCCCAGAAGGAAGCATCGCAGACCCCACGAAATACATACACTCTCGATCAGCACTAAATTCTAAATCGAAAAAAGCAGTCCATCTGTCCGTAGATATAATGTCTGCTGCAAACAAGTCAGCTTTTGGATGCACACGCCTACGCGACAGATTGAAAATGGAAAAAATCAGCCGCGCCCACTCCTTATTGTAAGGCATGAAAATTTTTTTTTTCTTTTAGGCTAACTGTGCTGGGTATAAAACATTCAGTCACGACCGAATACAATTTTCTTATTTGTTAATGGACAACATCTCTTATAACTGTGTATTGGTTGGCTATTACATATGGTAAATGTAAATTTTCTTACGAGTTATGAAAGAGTATTGAATAGTAAAAAAAGAATTTTACGATTGAATAAATTCTTTATTATATAATAATAACAATTCTTGCCTGCTGAGCGATTGACCAAATCATATTTTTTTTTCTTGCGTTTTCAACTAACCTCTGGCTAGGATACGATTGACGAAAAGTGTTATTAAATGTGTAAGACCTCTGTTTGCTATTAATGCTGGCTATAACAGAACATTGTGCATTTTAGGTATTTCTCAGGGTTGATGGTGTGCACTTTTTTTTATTCATTAAAAATGCTGATATAAACTTTCTTGCAATTCTTTCAATACGAACGCATCTTTCACTGTCAAAGTGTTCTTAACTATTTACACTTGAATAAGATAGATAGATATATAGATAGATAAAATAAGAAATTGCCTTCTAACATAAAGAAGATAACGAATTACATGATATTACCATCGTATTGCTGAGGCAGTCATGGAGGAGGTTACATGCAAGCTCAACAATACTTAAGCCAGGATTAGTGTATGAATAGCTCAATAAATGTGAAAATGAAAATTTGTAATGAGCTAAGGAAGTCTTTGAGTAATTATTTTTATTGAAATTACTTCTATTTAGAAATATATGATAAATTGTTATATATATATTTTTACACTTAATGGGTAGGTTATGAATGGTTATTTATCTTATACTTCACTGAGATAACTTACGGCGCGTAAACTTTCAAGATAGTGCAGAAAAACAGGACTGGGGAGAAGTCGTAATATATTTGAATCGATGACACCCTGTGTCCGTTCTTTAAATTCGCGTTTGCGATCTATAAACTTGTTTGGCAGAACACACGTACTGCTTACTTCCGTTTACATTCTTGGCTTTGTTGACTTCAGTCAAGTGCGAAAATTATATCAAGCTATTTAAAGATTCGTCAACAGTTATCAACTTGCAAGAGCACGCAAGCACCTGTTGGCCAAAATAAATCATTTCGGCTATTTGTGCGGATCAAATGTATTTATACTGCAGGCAATCTTCGATGCATATCTCTATGCGTTGCAATCATTTGCTAAAGTGGCTCACTTTTTTTTTATATCAACAGCTTATGAAATTGTTCGCTGTCTTGATTAACATTATGATAATTTGATTTTTTAAGTACATTAAGTCAATTAATTAAACAGATTTTGCGATAATTTCGCTTTTTATAGCACACAAGCCATAAAATGAGAAAACATTGATTTTATCAAATTGTTAGCAAAGTGCGGATGCGTCATAAAGTATTTGTTTTAAACCTTCCTATAGCTTGAATTTTTTGAATCATTATAGCCACGTCCCTCTACCTCTTAGACCTGATTTACACATTTGTGTCGGTATACTTGACGGACTCGAAGACGCGAGAAATGACACAGACAAGTGTACCTTTTTAGTAAATGAAGCGAGCAATCAGATCATATGCACAATGACGAAGACCTGCATCCCATTTTTAAAATGCAGATCTCTTTACGTATTTTAGGTTTTTTTAAGTAATTGCATTGCTCTTCTAATAGTTATGTAATTGAAATGTTGCTGAATAATTTTCACAGAATGTCTCGGCCACTACACAATAATACACAATATCGAATAAATCATAGCGGCTTAAGAAGACGATAACGTGTCCGGGTTGTAGATAACAGAATAAGAATGATGTCGACCGTTAGAGAAATCATGGGGGATTTGACAGAAAAAGAAAACTACAAGATAGTGTTCAACAAAAATGGGTCGTTTCCTGGAACAACATTTGCCCAAAGAAACGCCATAAGAATGTCTACAAATCATTTTTTTTTTCTAGTCTCCCGGTATCTCTCGATATAAGCAACTAAAGGAGAAGATTGATATTCCTTGTCCAAAAATATCATAAGAGTATACTATGCACATGGGAGGAACGGACGTGATGTATAACTATTTAAGTAGCCATCGCACAAGAGTCCAAAGCCGCAAAAGGGATCTCCACCTATTCTGTCTTTTATTGAACCTCGAAACTTCGGAACCTCATAAAGTCCTCGATACTTATGAAAAAAAATCCATTGCAAAGGGCGTTCCAAACAAATAACTAAAAAATCTGGTTCAGTTTGGCAATGATTTGGTTGATGCTTTTTCTAAGTTAGAATCTCATAAAGACGGTAATAAGTCAGATCGACCTGGTTATGGTTCATTAGAGCACAGTTTTCAGGCGAAAAGTGTGCTTGGCCTCAATGAAGATATGAAAAGACAGTGTTGGTCACTGGCATATATTTTCAAGCAGAAATTCCACAATATAGGGATATCGCAACGTGATCATGTAACAAATGCAACGTTCCTTTAAGCTTGGACGCAAAAAATAATTGTTCATGTTTTGTCATATGAGAAGAGGTATTATTTATGTTTGAAGTATTGTATCAATGATCGTAGTAGATTTGTAGAACTCAAGGAGTGATGGTGGATTTTTTTTTTTTGGCATTCTTCCCATTAACTACTCACTCACTTCGCGGTTGTTGTAAAATTTTAACTTATGCTGCATAGCAGATTTTGGATTATTGGAAATTGATTCAAATACCCAAAGGGCAATGCCCGCAAATGACAACAAACTATCGTAATGCTGCGTATGTTCTAAGATTCGTTCGAAGGTTAATATTGTTGTTGTTGTGGTTTTTTTTTTTTTTTTTTTTTCTAATAGTTCGTTCTGCTTTTATTCGTGTTATTAGTACCATAAATAAAAATTTAAATTTCAAATCAGGTTCGTCTTGTCATTTGTTTGTTTTTGTTTTTTGGGTGAAATAAAAGTGTCGTTGCTTTTTTTTTGCATGAATACCATGAATACCTGTTCAGGCGAGCATTTCTAATCTCATCTTTATAAGCATTTACTCGTGTGTAAATGCATGCGAATTAATGAGAAAATAATGACGAATTTTTTCTAATTTATGACATTTTTTATTTCTTATGGCAAGTAGAAAAGTAAAATGTTTAATAAAAGTTTACAAAACCTGAACGCAATTATTGGCATTGTTTAAACGGCAAAATACGATTTATTAAAGGTATAAAACGGCATCGATTAGTTGGAGAGAGTATCAGTTTCAATTGCTTGTTGGCGCGTTTTAGAAAACCCAATAAAAATGAAAGTGTTCCTCGTATTCGCTGTGATTGTGGCGGCCGTTTGCGCTGGGCATGTAGAATATGGCGGCCATCATGGCGGCTATGGCGGAGATCTTGGCGGCGGCTACGGTGGTTATGGCGGTCATGGCGGCCACGGTTACGGCGGCGGCTTGGGTGGTTATGGTGGCGACTTGGGGGGCTATGGTGGCCATAGTCACCATGATCATTATGGTCATCATGGTCATCATGGGCATCATGGTCATCACGGTCATCACAGTGAACATTACGGTCATCATGTTCATGGCGGAGATAGCGGTTACGGCAGACATGGAGGCTTTGGCAGCTCTTATTCCCAAGCAGGTTCCTTTGGTGGTTATCGTCGCTAGCTGATATAATACGAGTGCAATGAAAACGTAGAGATGCTTTCTAAAATACTTTAAGCATTTTTCTGCGGACTTTCATTGAGAACATATAAAAAATAAAAAAAACCTTTTGTTGATACACAAACAATGATAATTTGTTTAGATAAAAATGAGGTTTGCTTGCATTAGTCTATTAAATGCGAAGAGTCTCCTGAATGTAAGAATGCATGCATTTATGACGAATGACCTAATAATAGATGGAAATAAGACGACGATATCCAATCGATCAAAACAACTATCGATAGTAGTCAGTAATGGTCCTCTAAAATATGTATGAAATAATTACTTAACCCTAGAGACTTGCCGGAACTGTCTCTTAAGGCATTCATGAAATTGTATTGCTTTGACGCGATGGTTTTAGGAAAAGAAAAAGTCATAGTAGTTGTGTAAACATTGTAACTAATCGATGATATTGGTTAAGATTTTAATGACAACCATTTGCGGTTATAGTTACCTAAAGTATCTTATGAGTTTATGGACCGTGTTTCTTTCCTTAAGTTTGAACAATTATTTTTCAGAATCGTTGCTTTGACCGAGTGAAAGATTTCCTCATTGGAAGTCGTTCACGCCGACTCTTCAGGCACTTTACAGCGCTTCTTAAATGTTTTACATCACTCGTATCCCCGAGTTTATAACAAAATATTATTACCGCAGGCCTTGTATACGATTTTCGTCGATCAGAAGTTCAATTCGGAAGGTGTTTTTTTTTTTCGCTCATTCATGGCAAAGTCAAAAACGAATCTGATCGCGGACATATGCAATTGTGGGAAACCGTTCGATGTAATAGTAACCGGTAAGTAACTGTGACTATTTTCGCACGTTGCAAATTTTATTTTTAATACCAGGGCTTTTACAAGTCTCCATCGGGTTGAAGAGAATTTTTTTCATTCCTCCTCAGTTGGCGAGATTTAGCGAATTTAAAAATTGTAAAAATTTGCAATTGTTTGCCATACAAGGACTTTTCAGAATAAGACCGTGAAAAAGTGGACCGATCCGAACTATTTTAAAGAGCGCTCGTCCGCGGGTCAAAGCATGTCGGTGTGGCAAATTTCATCAAAATATCTCACAAATTGCTGTCTGTGCATTTAACAAAAGAATACATAAACAGACATAATTCGGACCTACGGACAGACATGCTTAGATCAACTCAGAATAATTTTTTGAAAATAAAAGTAATGATGGCTCTATCTGAACTCGTTACGTACGCCCACACAAACTTAATATACGCTATACTACAAATCATGTAGAGTGTAAAGAGAAAAAATATTCGAGGTCTTATCAATGAAAGTAACAGCGCAACCATAAAATTTCTTACAAAACATATTAAAAAAATGTTGTTGCAAATTGTTTAGGAATAAAACGGAGCTATCAAAAACATCGCTACAGGTCGTAAATTCTCGATTTAGGAGAATAAAAAAAAATTTTATAAAAATATGATTAAAAGTATAGTGAGCATCGCGCCTGTTTCTTCAAAAATTGATTTCACTGTCAATTTTTTCATCGCCGTTTGCTCTTTATACCTATCAAAGTGTTCGCTGAACTAATGTTCTTGTAATAAGGCTCTATGACTATGAACGAAAAATCGATATTTGTCAAAATTTCAAGTACAATGTAAAAGGAGTTCATTACAATAATTAAATGCAAATAGTGGAAAATTCAGAATAGCTGAGCGAATGGATTATGACAAAAATTTATTTTAATTTAAATTATTTAGTATTTATTCAAGACTAAAGCCTTCCTCAATTACATGTACACAAACATTCAATTTACTTTTGTATTTGTTTATAATCTAACTGTTAAAATATTATTAAATAAATATAAATTTTGTGCAATGTCAATAATTGTAAATAAGTCGCTTGGGGGATAACAATAAAACTCAATTCAATTTTCCCCCCAAAAAAAAAAGATTAAAAAAAAAAAAAAAACATTTCAACATGCAGTTCGCATCGATGATGATGATGATGATGATGGGTTTTCTCATATCAATTTTACCCTAATCTCGTTAATTAGTTTTGCAATAATTTTTAAACATTCAGCATTAAATGTAAATAATGACGTGTGCACGACACAAAAGCGGGTTATAAAAGTTTCGCGCTCCGGAAACGAGGAAATAGTTTTGCATGTAAACACAGACACGTATAGATAGGCGAGATCGAGAGTAGTAGTAGTAGTGGTTCAAAAAGCTTCAAATAAATCAATAACTCAGCCAAGCAAGCTAGCAAACAATCCTGAACGATTAACAACAAATGTATGCAATTTGATGAAATTACGCATCACTCCAATGTTCATCCTTAAAAGCATATAATATATAGATGGACGTGTTTATCGTATAAGCTTTTGTAGTCGAATCCGACCAGGTGTTGCATAACTAATGCTCGCTATTACCGCTAAAATATTTTACGCCATTTATTTGCTATGGATGTATGTTTGTAAACATATGTAGGAAAATTTTGCAATGCGGTCGTTCAGGATTTCAAAACCAATTTTCATATTTTTCATAATGTCAACGGCTTGGCGAGTTGAGAATCCACAATTGAACACTCACACACTACTATACAAATTGGTCTACGCATTTACGCGTTGTTGCCATGTGCAAATTTCTTATGGTCATTTAAATGAAAAGGTGGCAAAACCGTTGTCGGTCTTCACACAGGGGTACACAGTGCGTATAAATAATAATTTCAACGCTTTTTTTGTTTTTCTGATATTAAAAAACAACAACAACAACATTGTTAGAAACTATGAATAAAATTTATTTTATTGTGTCGATTGTTTCACTAAGCATAGCATTCACTTTGTGAATAAAAACGTTAGTTTTATGTTAACCTTTAAAACTCTTGGGTCTATTAATTGCTTTAGTCCTTTTGTAACATTTGTGATTGCACTTTATAGATATAGGTTATATTGGACTCATGGTGAATTCATGGCTTCCAAGTTAGTTTGTATACAATTGTTCCACTGTGTGTTATAAGCTGGCTATCACAACTCGGCCAATATTACCTAATACCTACAGATGTTTGAGTAAAGCTTCAAACCAGAAAAGTGGAACCATTTACAAAAAAAATAGAGAAATATTCTATACACTTTCATTAATATGTAAACCCACCATTTCTGATATCGATAGATTTGGAATTACTTTCGAACCTTGTCTGTGTGTCGCTCATGTTTTCTGGCCTTCAACCTATATAGGCCTCAATATTTTTGTGTTGGCTCAAGAACGAATACTTGAGCCTAGACTAAATTGAGTTTGGTCGGTGCACTTTTTCGACCCAGACAACGCCTTCCTATATACCGTCATTTTTTGTGAAGCCGTTACATAGATAACTGTATTAGACGAATTGGTGCAGAGGCTTTAGTGGTGAGTCGTATCCTGCTATAGCATTTTTACTGGTTATCTTGTAATATATCGCATCTGTATTATTATATTGATTCCATTAAGAGATAAATGCCCTCGGTTACCTTCCTCTTTTTGCCACAACATTTGTTTATTATCTCTTCGAACATAGTGTAAATGGGATATAACCTATAAAAAAGCTTTCTACAAACAAATTTGAATTAAAATAAAATATAAACAATAGTTTGTATTTTCTGTCTCAATTTTGGAGAATCTAAAAATTTCGCAATGAAAAAAGAAGACGAACCAGAACTCTAATATAACGTTTCACGAAATTTCGTTCGAGGATTTCCATTGTTATTGCTATACTTTATCAATAATTCACAGAGAATTAATCCTTAGATTGTTAAAATTCATGAATTTAGTCCGTATAGTCGAACTCCATCATGAGGCTCAATATTTATTTTGTTTATCTAATATTGGCCTAAATATTATATATGCATGAAGTTGTTGGGTGTTCAAAATTCGCCGTAAAAGCAAATACAATATTTTTTCGTTTTATTCGTTTATCTAGATTTTATGCAAATATTATTAACATTATCGATAATAAGGTCTCTCGCGGCATGCGTAAGAGTTTATTATGCATTATTAAATAACTGAGTAAAAATTGAATTGATTCATTTACGATAGTTGATTGCGCTTACACGAAATGTATCTGTATATATGGAATGCATTTACAAATTGTTGTATGTATAATTCATTCAAATTATATGAAAGAAAACATTTTATTTATTAAATTTTGAAACGAATCATTAATATTTATACATAAATTATGATAATTAATTTTTTTTTTTTTTTTTTTTTTGCATTTAGAAAGCAGTTATGATTTTTCCAAAATGTTTGTATAAACAATTTACCTGTGTTCTAATTAAAAAAATTAAATGCTTTTGTAAATTTTAAAATATTATTCTTATTATTATTCAGGACGTTTTCCGCAAGCAGATTCCAATAGCTGGGCTGACGTGCGCCTATGACTAAATAGAATCTGACTTTAGAGATTAAATGATAAGTACGTGAAAAGGGATTAATTAATTTTATTTTCTCGCCATTTTTTTTGTTAATTGTTAAGCTTTTTAATAATAAATAAATGCTTCCCTCTTATTGATTAATTTTATTTTCACGACGTCAATACGAACGATCTCATCTTTATTCCAGAACACAGTAGCTATAATTCTTTTGAATGACAAATCCGTACGGTCGATTTTCAGCGACTGTGTGAGTTCCAAGTTGTCACTAGGAAACTGCCTATCGGGATTTACATTGTTTGTAGTTGATCCAATCAGGACATATTCCGATAGATCATCCTAGTCGGCGCAATATTCATTCTAAATCGACCATTATTAAGTTTTCCTTTTTTTTACTCGTTCAGCTTGTTTTTCGTAATCTTGGTATTCTCTGCTGCATAAAAGCAACGGTACTCACCACTGTTCGTGAAAGTCAAATTTTTTATGGCGACGCGAAGCCTACAGTTTTTAGTAAATGAAAATTTTGTTTCTGCTTGGCGAGTGGAAAAATTTTGTGGCCTATTCGTACTGTCTTCCAAAAAGTTGACAATAATTTTTAGGTTAAA